GTAAAAATAATAATTGGATTTGAACATCTTAGGTAGGTATTTAGTTTTATTTATTTAGAAAATATTAATCTCACAATTAATATATAATTTTATCACACAACTAACGCCCTAATTAGCAATGTAATGGTGAAAGAATTTTCAAAGTCGGTCTAGTAATTTTTGAGATTAGCCAATAAACGTATTCATTGAAAGTAGCGCCCTCTATAATAAAATTCATCCTATATTAGATATCTAAAATTATACATAACAATCTAGTGGTGAAAGAATTCTCAAAGTTGGTCAAGTATTTTACGAGTTTAGCGAAAAAAATATTCTTTGATAGTAGCGCTCTCTATAATAAAATGTATCCTACGTTTTTAAGCACCATAGCAAAAAACGATTCAACATAGCCTAACCCGCACACACAGTAAAAACATAACCATCCTTTTTCGTCTGTAGTCGGATAAACAACTGGTTGATAACGGTTGCGTATCGGCTGCTTTGGATAAATATCCATTGTCAACGGTCCTTTTAAATATATATCGTAACATCATAATAATTATCGAAAAATTATATATATATTAGGTGGAGGACGGAGTGCAGAGTTGGCACGTGGAATGTTAGAGGGGGCATGAGAGATAAGACGAATGAGTTGATCGAAATAATGAAAGAAAGAGAATTAGATGTCGTGTGTATGTCGGAGACCAAACGGAAGGGCAGTGGTACTGAAGAGCTCCCTGGCGGTACGTTAGCTACATGGTCCGGAGTCCCGGAAAGCGAGAACGCCTGCCACGCGAACGCGTGCGGGTGCTGTTATCGTCCCGGTTGGTCGATCTTATGACTGAATACAAGGTTGTGAACTCAAGACTTCTCTGGGTTAGCTTTAAACTGGGACTGACGAAGTTATTCCTTTTGGCTGTTTATGCGCCGGTAGCTTCGTCGTCCAGAGCTGAGCTGGAGGAGTTTTAGGAGAATGTAAGAGAAGTTCTAGATTTGGTTAAGGGAAACGAAAGAACTGTTGTATGTGGTGACTTGAGTGGATGGGTAGGTATCGCTCGACCAGGATACGAGTCGGTGCTTGGAAAGTTTGACGATAAAAGGGTTAATGATGCTGGCAAGCTTGTACTGGCTGTATGCAAGGAAAAGGGTCTTCTTGTGACAAACACTATGTTTAATCACAGGGAAATCCATATGTACACTAGAGAAAGAAAGAATGAGAGAAGTATGATTGATTTGTTCCTGGTGGATGACCGACTGCGAAAACAGGTGTGGATACACGAGTGTTCAGGGGTGCTGACCTGGGAACGGATCACTATCTAGTAATTACTAGATTTAGGGGTTTGTTCGCGGGTCGCGGGCGCTACCGGACGGCAGTAACAGAACCACAGTCGGTCTGTCGCATCCGAAGCTGGAAGCTTCAGGAAGCGGATACTAGGGACAAATATCACACGAGGGTAGCCGAAAAGCTTGACACCATCGATGGCAGGAAAGAATGTGTGGAGAAAACATGGCAGAACCTTAGGGATGGAATGGTAAGTGCAGCGGAAGAAGTATGTGGAACGACAAAAAGAGGTAGTAATAAAAGAAGAGATGCATGGTGTAATGATGAAGTGAGAGAAGCTGTAAAAAAGAAGAAAAAAGCACGGTTAGACTACTTGGCATATAAGAGAGAATATGAAAGAAAGATAGCTGCAGAAAGTTCATGCGAAAACATTGATTGAGGAAGTACGTGAAAGGTGTAGAATAGAAGCGGACGAGAGGTTGTCGCACAACTTTAAGGAGAACTCCAAACTCTTCTGGAAAGAGGTTGGGGTCCCGGTGGTGCAAGCTTGAATGAACAAAATGCTTTCGAAAACCAATGAAGTCCTCTCAAAAAAATCGGACGTCATACAGCGATGGAGTGAATTTTATAGAGAAATGTATGCGTGTCATGATCTTAGTGAAGAATCCGGGGGTGACGCCATTACTGGCACGCCAGACACGGACCTCGATGACACTGAGGTCATCAGCATGAAAGAGATTGAACGTGCGATTCGAAGTTTGAAATGTGGTAAGGCTGCGGGACTAGACAGAGTTACTGCTGAAATGGTCAAGTACGGTGGGCCTCGCGTCTGGGACAGCTTTCGTCTGCTGTGCAATTTGTGCTGGCGGACGGGAGATGTCCCGGATGATTGGCGATCCGCGGTCATTGTGCCTTTATATAAAGGTAAAGGTTCACATTTTGACTGCGGGTGCTATCGGGCTATCAGCTTGACCAGTTTAGCAAGTAAAGTTTACTCGAAGGTTTTGACACGTAGGATGCAAGAGAAATCGGAAAGATTCTTATGGGAGGCACAATGCGGATTTTGACCTGGAAGAGGGTGAACGGATCAAATGTTTTCTCTCCGCATGATCACGGAAAAGCTTCTGAGTGTTAACCAGAGGATTTTCTGTGCTTTTGTGGATCTGGAGAAAGCATTTGATAAGTTTATAAGGAAGAAAATGTGGGAACTGTTGCCGGGAGGTGATGGTGTGGATGGTCGATTGTTAAGGGCTGTGCAGTCACTTTCCTATGACTGTAAAGCCTGTGTGCGGGTAGGGCATGACCTGTCACCCATGTTTAGCGTCCAAGCGGGCGTAAAACAGGGTTGTGTCATGTCTTCCTGGCTGTTCATACTGTATCTCGACAGCTGTTTACAGAAGCTGAAAAATAGCTGTTTGGGTGTGAAATTGGGTGACATTAAAGTAAATTGTCTGCTGTATGCTGATGATGCAGTGCTTATTGCACCATCAGAAGCAGAACTGCAGGCATTAGTCACGTGTATGAAAGAGAAATGTGAAATTAAAGTTCTCCGTTTGAATGCTAATAAAACTAAGGTTCTGGTATTTGAAAAGGACTAAGAGAGAATGAAATGTGAAATATGGGTAAATCAGGAATGTCTAGAACAGGTAAATGAAATTGTATACTTGGGGAGTGCTTTCAGCCGGGATAGAAGATGTGATTTAGATGTGGATAGGCGTGTCGCTGCCGGAAACAAAGTCAATGGTGCCCTGAATGCATTAGTCAAAAGGCAAGGCGTGGTGAAGAGTGCACGCCTTGCAATACATAACGCAGTGTTGGTACCGACTTTCTTATATGGCAGCGAAACCTGGGTATGCCAGAAGAAGCATAAAAGCAAGTTGAATGCAGTGGAGATGCGATCTCTTCGTAAAATGTGTGGCGTTACCATAACCGATGCATAGCATTTGTATTGTGTAAAGGCAGTTAGACAGCTAGTGATCCAATCTAGTGCGATTGCATGGACTCTGCCGCGCTAGCTCATATCGTACACTAGCTAGCGCACCAAATAGCATGGTGTAAAGCGTTCTAGCGTGCTAAACACTAGCTATGCTAGGTCAGTCAGTCGGCGTACGCTCGAACAGGACGTATTTTTGGTATATAATCAAAATTATAGTGAAATTATTTTAGAGCATTGGTGGTATCCGTGAATGTTTTTTGGAGAGGGTGACAAACTCTGCATTTTATTAAGGATAGAGTAGATTAGGTTCAGTGGTTGATATCTATAAAAAAAAAAAAAAAAGTGACGTGACGCAACCATCGACGAAGGAAAAGGAAGTAATGAATTATAAAAACATGCCATTTTTTTGGGATAAAAAACATTAGGATAAGAAAAACAAAGATATGAGAAATGATGGAAACAAAGTGCTTCTCGAACTTTACAAAGGATTCACGTTGTTTATATTTGACTACAAACTAATAAGAGTACCAACGTAATATTTGACAGTTCCTGTCTCAGCAATAAATATTCTGTCACACAACATTTTTTGCATTTTTTTTTAAAATTAATTATCATTAAAATTGACACCATTGCTAAAGCAACGTCAACTTTCTGGTGGTTTATAGTACCGTATTCGTTTAGCGCTTTTGAAAGATGCGGTTTTGACGACGATCACTACAGAAATGAAAGGAAATTACTATTTAGTTAGTCTAGTGTAATGAGTGAGCTCTTTTTATAGTTCGCTGCAGCACTAAGTCTAGCGCTCTGCAAATTGGATAATGTAATGGGCTCTTTAGCTCCTTAATAACTCCTTATAAAGGGTTGGTAGTAGTGGTATTATAAATTTTGTTTAATGTAGCGCCACCTGTATACTTAAACATTTTGATGATTTGTAGGTTATATATACGTAAAAGGATAGAAATGGTTTTTTTTTGCGTCACGCACTGGGTCACGGTATCCAAAATCGATGGCCTGGGCCAAGTCAGAACCTATTTTCAAGAAATCTAAACACTTAACATTTTTGTTATGTTGCTTATGATTATCGATTAACTCCCTTTTTTAATTATCATCTTGCACCACATTTAATTCTCGGATGTTTTTTGGCATTTTTGTGTATCATTTAATGCTTTTCTTTTCTTTATTTTTTTATTTTACAGCAGAGTAAATGCAGCTACTGTTGTTCTTTTTAATGACAACAAGGAACGAATTAAAAATACTCCATGGAGTAAAATGATTGTTAAGAACTTTTCGGAAAAAAAGAAAAAAAATGTTGTTAAAAAATAAATACTCTATTTCTAAAATAATAAAAAATTTCCAATACTTCAAATAAAATTTAGGGTAATTTGAATGGACTTTCGGGGAATTTGACAAATAGGTCACACTTTAGTAGGTTAATTCGGTTTGGCAACGCCGCACATGATGCAGATTGCAGATAGATGATAGATTTTGAGACAGTTCCGTGTTGACGTGCGCGTGAGCGACATCAGTTCAAACTTTTTGTATATTAAAGTTTTGCTGTTATCACTTGTCATGTTTTGTGTTTCTTGTTTTGTTTCAATAATGCCTAAAGCGTACGTTTATAGTGCTCGTGAATACAGCAACATGTTAATGTCATATACATAGAAATCTTTGCTATTAATTGACATGTTAAGTATAAGTGACGACTGCAAACGTATTGATTTGAAAGAAACAAAGGTATCATACTGTCACCGTCGAAGACAAAGTAGAATGCGTGATAGCGTGTAATTGATTTGGTGGTGGCAGGCCTCGTTTCGTGGTGCTGGGGGGCGTGGGTGCGGGCGCGGCGCTGTGCGCGTGGCTGGCGGCGGGCGTGTGCGGGGGTGCGGGGTGCGCTGGTGGGGTTGAAGCGGAAGCTGGCGGGGGTGCGGGCAGGGTGCACGCCCTGCTGCTGCTGGCGCCGCCACTGCTCACGGCGGAGGGCGCACGTGATGATCCCGACGACATACTGCACGAGGTGACCCATATTACATCTCGCTCCACCGCGTCTACTACTTATGCTATGAATTATTTGTGATTGACCCTTTATGTGTAATTAACGAAATAAAGTAACTTGAAAAAATTCTCTGTTGCATGAATTCTTTATTGGTTTCTACTGCATGAATTCTCTATCCTTTAGAGAGTTCAAGCAGTGTGTGTGGAGAAACCTGTCTGTCGCGTTGTTGAATCAGCACATTGTAGAAATAAATAATCTACGAAATAAACTGTGAATGTGTATTATTTTAGTTGATCGTATGGTGGCAGCTTAAAAGAATGAAAATTCGCCACAATTACGATGGGACCACTCTAAGTCGTAAGATACGACTATCTGAAGTCCGTATAACTGTTCCGTTAAATGCCTTGTAAAATACCTAAACGAACGCCTGTTGTTGATGTTATAGAATAGGTGTGACAACACGAGCACACAGTCCATCTGATAGTAAGTGGATGCTGTGGCCCATAAACTGCGTTTGTCTTCGATTAAGTAAGTAATCAAAATGCAGATGTGTTGGTACCCTTAAAGGCTAAGATAGAATGCTTTGTCACCAGTAAAAAGGGTTTCTAGTTCTTTACACTCACCATAAGAAATACAGCAGCATTGCGCTGCTGTTCTACTGTTGAGAGCATGGTTCTTCCTCGGTCGGTCCCATTTTTGTTTCTCTTTATTAGGGATAACAAACAATTGCACAACATAATCTTATTACTAAACACTATACTATATTTAAGCTTAATAATGGGTCTGTGTACGTAACAATTAAAAACTAAAATGTAATGTGTATTAAAAACGACCCGTTCACCAATAAATACAGAGAAAAACAAGCTAATTTACACATATGCATGTACATGTGCACGCATATACACCAACCCATTCGTGTTACAATTATAATATAGCTGTAGTATGGCCTTAACACGTGTAGTAAATATCATATAATTAGAAGTAACTAAAGTCGAAGTTGTTGACGAGTATGTTTACCTTGGACAAGTAGTCCGACTAGGTAAGTCCAACTTAGACCGAGAGGTCAATCGACGGATGCAACTCGGCTGGGCAGCGTTCGAGAGATTACGACACATCTTCTCGTTAGGCATACCCCAAAACCTTAAAGTTAGATTGTACAACCAGTGCGTGTTGCCAGTGATGACCTATGGATCCTGCTGGCCATATGAGGAAGCTCAAAAGTCGCAAAAGTCGCTCAGCGATCTATGGAGAGGGCTGTGCTGGGAGTTTCTCTGCATGATGAACTTAGAAATGGGGATATCCGCAGAATAACCAGAGTGATCGACATAAATCAACGGATTAGTAAGTTGAAGTGGCAACTGCACACATGTTTTTTATTGACGTGAATACGTCTTTTAACTTTCTTCCATAGTGGGAGGCTATTCAGAAAACTGATGATAACTAAATTGGAAACAGTTGAGTGTTGCAGCTACATATCTATCATCAGGCTTTTTATACGTGATAGAGCCGTGCTGCAGTTATATTAGTAGCATACTTGTAGCACGAATGGGTCAGCTCGACCGGGGAAGGACCACGCTCTCACAGAATACCAGCGTCAAATAGTAGCTTAATGCTGCTGTGTTTCGTATGGTGAGTGTAATGAACCGAAGAATCTTTTTACTGGAAACGAGGCATTCCATCTTAGTCCTCACGGGTGACAATGCATCTGCATTTTGATTTGTTTTTAATGGAGGATAGATGTAGATGTCTATGGGCCGCAGCAACCACTTACCATCAGGTGGACTGTGTGCTAGTTTGTCACCCTATCCTATAAAAAGATCTACATCCAAAATTTGATTACACCATTCGATAGCTAATGGATAAAAGAATTTGTCAGTTTGAGTGAGAACTGTGACACATCGCGTGCGGTAGAGGTGGGAGCACCGCTATTTTGAAGTTGTTTCGTTGTGTTATATAATTTCCGTTTAATTTAAATTTTGACCTTACGTACACGTATTCAAGTAAGGCACATGGCTGTGTCTTTCGTGATTTGTTCGTTAAGTATCGTTTATATATGACGTGTTAACATGCATGCGACGTGGGGTCAGGTGTGCATGCCGCTGCTGGTGGTGGCGGGCGGCGGCGGTGCGGCGTGCGGTGCGGGCGCGGCGCGCGAGCTGGTGACGCGGCTGCGCGGGGCGGGTGCGGTGGGCGGCGGGCCGGGTGGAGCGCGGCTGCTTGCGCTGGGCGGCGCGGACGACGCGCTGCGCTTGCCGCCCGCGCTGCGCCGCCGCCTGCGCCTGCCGCAGCACGCGCTCGACGCGGCGCTCGCGGTACGTACGCACGCACACACATGCACCGCGCATCCAGCACGCACACACACATAGACGCCTGCCGCAGCACGCGCTTGCCGTACATACTGTTAGGAAGCCGATCTAGTTTGACTTTAAAAAACACCAATAAGTAACCCTAAATTAGAAAAAGTTCACACAAAAAGTTTCTGACCTCCAAAGTTAACTGATCATTAAATATGGAATTAAAATTAACATAAAAAATAAAATAATAGGTTTAAGACCGTCAAATATACTGTAGTTGAGTAGAATTACATAAAAAATTATCTTGCATTATAATGAATTAATGAACAGTTTCTAATAATAATTTTTATACCTATAGTATACTGCAACATCTTGGCGTATTTATTAGATCAGAGAGAAGATTGCCTTTTTAGCGATATCGCAGTAATTGTTTTAAATGGCTACAGTTTCTTTCTAAGCACAAACTAGCACGACTTTGTAAATTGTTTGTTAAACTTCGAAGCGTGACTTCTTTTGTGTGTACACTAATCTTTTTAGTTCGGCCCACAAATACAATTCTAGAGATGTTAGGTCTAGTAATTTCCTTGGCCAGTTCACAGGTCAATCGCGACCTATCCACTTATCACCAAATTGGCCTCTCATTATTAGATACTCGACATTAGAGTATTGATACATGTTTATGATACACGCGCGGAAATATAAACAGCGACGCGACGTTACATCTCATCACAAGTAAATGAGGAGTTGTGAGCACGGGTGCCTTTGCCCTTGAGCCTGTGACCCTGCGAAGTGACAAAATAAAAGACGAGAAAAGAACGGTAATAAAACAATAAATACTAAATTTAATAAAGATATTGATTAATTTGCAACCTTCCGCTAACTAAATACAATGATGTGTCTTACCTTGATTGAAGAGCACCTCCCGCCCTCCCTCAATTGCGTGCACTAATTCCGTCACCACTAGTCCCAGCACCACTACTCCCAACACCACTACTCCCGGCACCACTACTTCCAACACCACTATTCCAGGAAAGACACACCATCGACTACAATACGACACGTGTTTCCCCTCTACACGAGGCATCTTCAGGTGATGTAGACTCTACGGCGGACTACTACGACTCTACTAACCGCCGCGGTAGAGTCTACATTACCTGAGGATTAGTAGTTTTTGGTATTTCCAGTCGCATTTTACGTCCTGCTTCCATTATTTCCATACACTGTCTGTACTCTGCTTCTTGGAATTCCATTTGTTTCTGTTGTGCAGATTTTTCCAAAAGAAATAATTTTCTCTGTTCTGAGGTAGTAGGTGTGACCTTAAATAATAGAAAGCAAAATTGATTACAATTTAATTTAAGAAAATACAAAATGTGTTAACTATGTCATTTTAATATGATACATACTCTCTTTTTAATTTTCTTATTAATCGGTTTGAGCTCTTTTTTATTTGCCTCCAATTCTGCACTTGGGTGTCTGCACGTGTAATGTACAGAAATGTATATATTATGTAATAAATGAATGTAGGTACATGAATCTTGATAATTGTACTGGTTGATATACAAGGAAGTGAATCCATTCAGCAGTGTCGAGGCAAATTGTTTTATCAAGAATGTGTAAAACAAAATTGATCATGTTACATATTATCATTTCTGCATGTAGTGGTAGTGTTGTACTTGCTTTATCCTAAAATAAAAGAAAACATATTCTAGGTTCAGTATATTCCAATCCAAGACTTACTGACACTGGTAGATACCAATAGTTACCACATGGTCTATCTCGCTGTGAAGGCTGTCACTATCAAAATAATTTAAATCTACTTTAAACTCATTAGGAAGCATTTGCATTATTTGCACATCTCCTGGAGGTGCACTAGGCGGGCGAGGCCTCCACCAGGTGCATTACAATTGCACCTATATTCCAAGTCCCTCTTTTTATTGTTGTTTTTGTATTCCTCGACAGGTTTATTAATTGTGTGAGATCTCTCCTCGTGTCGTTTAGCTAATTAAAGCTAAAATACAAAAATACCACATGTATAATTCAGTACAAGACTTTTATAACCTCATTAAATCTTCGGACATACCTTTGGAAAATCTCTTGCCACGCTGCCTTTTTGAAATAATTATTGTTTTTACTTACATCCTTGTTTTGAATAATATGTATTTTTTATTTTATTAATTCTGTAAGCAAGGCCCGCAATAGGTACAATAGATATTATAGTGAAATGAATACAACATTAATATTTACTGATTACTAACAGAAATCTCTTCATACCTTTTCTGATTCACTCCAGTTTACGGAGCGGCTCTGTTTATAATTAATTTTATTTTCCATTTTATAATATCTACTTCGTTCTCAAAATTCACAGTCACTGCAAATCTCCAAAGTTCAAAGCAAATAGCCATGCAGCAAATCAGCAAAGTTAATGTGACAGCTTTAATTTTAAATTTGGCCTATGGCAAAAATATACGTATACAGCTAAGTTTTTAACAATACTACCGAAACATTGCCACTGGTAAAAAATTAAGTCATGTTTAACTAAGCAATGTCAAAATATCGTTTATAAGAAAATTTTAAACATTGTTTAAGGCTTAATTAGTTGATTAGTTAAGTAATGTTTAAGATGTTGACTAATGAGATTTTATGAATAAGGCCCTTAAAGGTTATAATGGGTTTATTCAAGAAATTTAAGATTGTAGGTATTTAAAGAGAGCGTATGTCTGCATGTGTGCCTCGTTAGTGTAGTGTTCGTAAGAGTGACTGCCGATCATGTGGGTTCGAACTCTGGCTCAGGCTGAAATGAGTTATTAGGTTTCTATCAAGAAATTCTCCATAGCAGTCCGAAGTCAGAGGTTGGCTTTCAACTTCGTTGTTTGTTTAGCACGTAAAGCCATTGGGCAACGATTTCTATTCGATGGTGTCGGGGAGAAAAGGCAGTGCAACCGTTCTTGCACACGTATTTTTGCACGATAATCCTGTCTCGCGCAGGTAGCTAGTCTCCGTTCATTACCTTATGTTCACAAAAAGCAAGTAGATAAAAAAGTAGTGTTTGTTCCAGTAAATGCACATCGCTTGGAGAAGTTTAGAAGTAACATAGTAAAAAAACTTCCATTACTTTCATACCAAAATAATCCAATTTTTTTTGTATGCAACATTATTTAAGCTCATTTGCAATGAATTTAATAATACTTTTACTTCTAAAACATTCTCCTTGAACAATCGTAAAGCATTTAATGAGTGGGCGACAGTAGGAGTCCATAAGAGTAGACAAAGGTTATATGAACTTTACAATGAAAGGTCATATAATCCTAGCGTCAAATTTAGGGAATATGTAAAAAAATATTCCAAAATATTTAAAAGAGTGTGCTCCTTAGCCAAGTCATTGTATTTAAGCAACAAAATAAACACTGCTTCTAATAAAATTAAAATGACATGGAGTATAATTAGTAGTGAAACTGGTAAGGTCAACTCTCGCAATTCAAACTACCAGTTAAGTTTTAACAATAAATTAACTAAATCAGATCAGGACGTTGCAATGGTTTTTGAGAAATATTTTACTGATATTCCGATCTTAACCACTAAGTCACTGAATTCTTCTCCTACCGTCGCAGAATCATTACTTAAACAAAATGTAAATGTGTGTACAAAGAATTTTACATTTCATAAAGTTTCATCAAAAGATATTGTAAAATATTTTAAGACTATTGATATTAAGAGAACCGCCGATCTGTGGGGGATTTCTGTTAAAGTTATTGCGTCTATAATAGATACAATCGCACCTCAACTATCTATTATTTTTAATAGTAGTATCAAATCTGGTGTGTTTCCTGATTTAATGAAGCATAGTAAAGTAATACCTTTATTTAAATCTGGTAGTACATTAGACCCCGCTAATTTTAGACCTATTTCTATACTGCCAACACTTGAAAAAATTATTCTTGATCAATTGTTAATTTTTTTAATGTAAATAAATTACTTCATAAAAATCAATTAGGTTTCACAAGGAGTCGCTCTACAACTGATGCTGGTGTTGAGCTGATTAAATATATATTTAATGCATGGGAGAATTCACAGGATGCTTTGGGTGTGTTCTGTGACCTATGCAAAGCCTTCGATTGTGTTCACCATGAAACATTAATCAGGAAACTTCAACACTACGGTGTAAGAAATGATGCTCTTAAATTAATTATTTCATATTTAAGTGACAGAACACAAAAAGTTGTTATTAATAGTATGAGTTCTTCCGGATCGATTGTACAAATGGGCGTGCCTCAGGGCTCAATTCTAAGCTTAATAATCATACAATCAACACCGTTATCCACATATTACCACTGGGTCTGTGTACGTAACAATTAAAAACTAAAATGTAATGTTGTATTAAAAACGACCCGTTCACCAATAAATACAGAGAAAAACAAGCTAATTTACACATATGCATGTACATGTGCACGCATATACACCAACCCATTCGTGTTACAATTATAATATAGCAGTAGTATGGCCTTAACACGTGTAGTAAATATCATATAATTAGAAGTAACTAAAGTAGAAGTTGTTGACGAGTATGTTTACCTTGGACAAGTAGTCCGACTATGTAAGTCCAACTTAGACCGAGAGGTCAATCGACGGATGCAACTCGGCTGGGCAGCGTTCGAGAGATTACGACACATCTTCTCGTTAGGCATACCCCAAAACCTTAAAGTTAGATTGTACAACCAGTGCGTGTTGCCAGTGATGACCTATGGATCCTGCTGGCCATATGAGGAAGCTCAAAAGTCGCAAAAGTCGCTCAGCGATCTATGGAGAGGGCTATGCTGGGAGTTTCTCTGCATGATAAACTTAGAAATGGTGATATCCGCAGAATAACCAGAGTGATCGACATAAATCAACGGATTAGTAAGTTGAAGTGGCAACTGCACACATGTTTTTTATTGACGTGAATACGTCTTTTAACTTTCTTCCATAGTGGGAGGCTATTCAGAAAACTGATGATAACTAAATTGGAAACAGTTGAGTGTTGCAGCTACATATCGATCATCAGGCTTTTTATACGTGGTAGAGCCATGCTGCAGTTATATTAGTAGCATACTTGTAGCACGAATGGGTCAGCTCGACCGGGGAAGGACCACGCTCTCACAGAATACCAGCGTCAAATAGTAGCTTAATGCTGCTGTGTTTCGTATGGTGAGTGTAGTGAACCGAAGACCCTTTTTACTGGAAACGAGGCATTCCATCTTAGTCCTCACGGGTGACAACGCATCTGCATTTGGATTTGTAATCGAGGATAGATCTAGACGTCTATGGGCCGCAGCAACCACTTACCATCAGGTGGACTGTGTGCCAGTTTGTCATCCTTTCTGTTTCTTGTATATATTAATGACTTACCTTACATAGTAGGGGATAACCATGATATAATATTATTTGCTGATGATACTTCATTAATTTTCAAATTAAAACGACAGTTATTAAATTACGACGAAGTAAATAATGCTATAGCTAAGTTATTCAATTGGTTTAATGTTAATAATTTGCATTTGAATGGAACTAAAACTAAATGTATGAAATTCGTAACTCCTAATGTTAAACATGTCAATACTAATGTAATTTTAAATGGGGAGGAACTGAGTCTTGTTGATACCACAATTTTTCTTGAAATCACACTGGACGCAAAGCTTCAATAGTGCCTCCATATATCAAAACTACCTGGAAGACTTAGTTCTGCAGCATATGCTGTAAAAAAGATTAGAACTCTTACCAGTGTTGAAACAGCTAGAATAGTTTACTTTAGTTATTTCCATAGCATTATGTCGTATGGTATTTTGCTATGGGGACACGCGACTGACACTGAAATAATATTTATTTTGCAGAAGAGGATTATTAGAGCAATATATAATTTAAAACCAAAAGAGTCACTGAGACAAAAATTTAAGGAAATTAATATATTAACTCTGGCCTCTCAATACATTTATGAAAATGTAATGTACGTACAGAAAAGTAAAAGTAGTTTTGCGAAAATAAGTGATATTCATTCTGTAAATACTAGGAGCAAACACAAGCTAGTAGTACCAGTTACTCGACACCACCGAGTCAGTAATTCATTCTTGGGACGATGTATACGCTTTTACAACAAAATCCCAGAAAATATACAAAGTTTGTCATACACAAAGTTCAAAAATGTTATTAAACTAAGTTTGTATAAAAAGGGTTATTATAATATTAAGGAATTTATAGATGATAATAACGCCTGGGAAGGGTGATCGCTACCAAGCTATTTCTAATTTCTGTTGTGTTGTTAATTCTAATATACATGATAGTAAGCTATTATTAAAAAAAATAGTCCCGCTGGGTTTCTTGCTGGTTCTTCCCAGGACAGAGGTTTTTTTTTGCGAACCAGTGGTAAATTAAAAAAGTGACTTTCAATAAGTATTTTTATAATCTACATTGAATAAAAAAGTTTCTGTTTCTATTTCTACCAGCCATCTATGCTGGACATTATTAGCTATGGAACAAGTGTCTAAGTATTACTATACTTAGACACTTGTTTTCACACTATTTTTGAGTTATGAATGTATAAATTAGCTCGAAATGGTTCTTGTAAATATCCACACTGTCGATGCTTGTATACTGTGATATGTCGCGTCATCACTAGTGTGTACGTTTACTGCGCAGGACGAGTGCGCGCGCTGGGTGCGTGAGGTGGCGCGAGACGCTCGACACGAGCGCAGCGACAAGCAAGAACGCTCAGACAAACACACCACCCACACTGCAGGTGATATGTTAATTATTTACCACTTTTATTACGTAACTAGATGGAACCATACTTTTTTATAATACTAATAATGAGTTCCTATATATATATACATATATATATATATATATATATATATATATATATATATATATATATATATATGTAACGTAATTAACGCACACCCTCAGACACCCCGATTAGTATATTATGTTATAATCATAATACATACACTGAATTCTTAGTTAAACATTGTTATGCATTGATTATTTATCAAATTAGTTATACTAATTCCTGAAGAATGTTGTGGTCACAGTACAAATCCACGAACGCAAAGACTAACGTGCTTGAAATAAAGTTCATTTTTCTTTTTTTTTTTTTTTTGAATGGCAGAATTATTAATAATACAATAAAAAATTTGACTCTTAAAAGTCTTATTGCCTTAAGGGGAAATATAATCACAAATGGCTTAGCAAGATCCTTCGTTATACCGAAAATATTGCAACATTAATTTTGAAATAAATATATGGTAAAGTTGAGGATTAATGTTAAGGATTATGTTAGACGAAAACACGATTTCGTAAAATTTTCTCGATAGAAAAAAAATCCAAAGTTACCTCCAAAATAAACAATAAACTGTTGTTATTCATAAAATACTTTAAATAAGATCATGAAACTTTGCATACTAACTGAACTAACTATAAAGCAGTGCTTATGTTATTTACTTTTTTTAAAATACCATTATTTTCACTGTAAAAAGAAATTACCTAAACTATCGGTCTTTTGAAGCGTGATTCCTGCCGCACGGTCACTTCGCTTCGGCCTTTGAACGGGGAGGTTGTGTCGCTTACGATCAGAATATACATTACGCAACAGGACGACGTAAAATTAAAATGGGAAATAACCGTAATAAAAATAAGAAGCGACTGGTTTGGCGTTAAGAAACAGGCATAAATATAATAAACCTAATGAAATAAGTGTCTAACGACCTTTCTACTTACAGTATTAGTGATTACAAACATGTCGGTACATAGCATACGACGCGCGGGGAAGTGGGGAAGAAATTAGAATTTGAGCTGACTTACTCTATCCCCTTAAGTTACGGTCCATTTCAGTTTGTTTTGACTGTACAGATATAGTGTGACAGTAACTTACGTAGTTTAAATTATTTTTGGGGTAAAAAATTACCTATATTAAAAATGATAGGAATCGATTCAGTAAACGATTCTGAACAAATTACTTTCTCAAAGTGCGTTATCATCATCATCATCACAGCCCTTCACAAGTCCACTGCTGAACATAGGCCTCCCCCAAGTAATGCCACAAAGCACGGTCCTGAGCCACCTGCATCCATCGACTTCCTGCATATCTTACCAGGTCGTCACTCCATCTAGTGGGGGGTCGCCCTACACTACGCCTACCGGTACGAGGCTGCCACTCGAGAACCTTTCTTCCCCATCGGTTATCGGTTCTTCGAGCTATATGGCCGGCCCATTGCCACTTCAGCTTACTAATCCGTTGGGCTATGTCGGTCAATCTGGTTTTACTGCGGATATCCTCATTTCTGAGTCTATCACGCAGAGAAACTCCGAGCATAGCCCTCTCCATAGCTCGCTGAGCGACCTTGAGCGTCCTCATACGGCCAGCAGTGAAGGACCACGTCGTCGACCACGTTGCCGTGTAGTGGCGGTTAAGAATATCCACTACCCCATATCTTCCCGTGGGTGTCGTAAGAGGCGACAGAGGGAGACAGGCAGGAGATGGGCAGCAGCATCTTCCTGATAACAGCAACTGTACGACAAAAAAAAACTGCGGTTGCCAACCCGCTCGCCAAGCGTGGCAACTATGGCAATATACGCCCCATGAACAATTACACAAAGTGCGTTAATTATATTATAATTTTTAAAATAAAATTTAATATAAAAAATAAGTTGAAAATAATATTATTTTTTATATTAAATATTAACGTTTTGTGTGCTTTAACGCACCCATGGTCACGGGAAGAACTGACCTAACGAACGAAGTTGAATGGGTTATGACATCGGGACGTCAAAAATCCCTATCACCCCAATCGATGGATGGCGCTGTACAAATTAACTTTCTGTAAAGTATTTTATGTGGTTTGATTGTGTTTAATTTTAGTTACATAATAAGATATATTTTTAATAAGGAGAGTGTGCGTAATATGTAAAACTCGTTACCAAAAGGGAAGTGGTATAACATTCCATTGAATTTACAGCTAATATTTAAGAAATTAAAACTATTTTATAATATAGGTACTTAAAAGTTTCTTACTAATCTTAATATCGTAATCAACATGTCGAGTTCCTTGTCTATAATACTTGTCGATGTTATTTCCTACCCATAATATCTGTTAACAACGAAAGTCGCCGAGAACAGATAATTATCAAATGTTTATTAACTATTAGGTTTCCAACTGAACCTATACTAAAATTATGGCTTAAATTGGCGTCCGAAACAAAAGTATTATCTTTGTTCTAAACATTTCACTAACTACTGTTTATCAGATAACAATATTTTCTGGTAGGACTATAGCAGTAAGTATAAAAGTATTAGATTTCGAATGTTGTTTATTTCTGCTCTTCTCATTTCCCAGCAAACTCCAGCGCCTTAGCCAAGTGTAGAAACTTTGTGTTTACAAGACGTAAAGGGGGATGCCCATTTTCGGCCATGGAACGCCCAACAATGTGCAATTGTTAAAAAAATATATTTTTATTTATGGTTATTAATCGCGGTTATCATTTATCCTAAAAAAAATGGGAATATTTTTCCACAAATTAAAAGTACCGAGAAGATAAGAATTAAATTAGGTAAATCAGTACATAATTCATTAGTTTGTGAATAACATAAAAAGTGTTGCCAATCACAAATCTCATTGAAAATCGATTACTTATGGTGTCATTATTACAATCCTAATATAATTGTTATGATTAATTATTATGATGTTATATGATATAGGTTTAAAACAACCGTTAACAATGAATATTTATCCAAAGCAGCCGATACGCAACCGTTATCAACCAGTTGTTTATCCGACTACAGACGAAAAAGGATGGTTATGTTTTTACTGTGTGTGCAGGTTAGGCTATGTTGAATCGTTTTTTGCTATGGTATTTTTTCTTTGGATATTTTATGGAATATTTTTTTCGCTAAACTCGTAAAGTACTTGATCAACTTTGAGAATTCTTTCACCACTAGATTTTTATGTATAATTTTAGATATCTAATATAGGATGAATTTTATTATAGAGGGCGCTAGTTTCAATGAATACGTTTTTGGCTATTCTCAAAAATTACTAGACCGATTTTGAAAATTCTTTCACCATTACATTGCTAATGAGGGCGTTAGTTGTGTAATAAAATTATATTATTATTTTATATTTAATTGTGAGATTAATATTTTCTAAATAAATAAAACTAAATACCTACCTAAGATGTTCAAATCCAATTATTATTTTTACAATTTATTCTTAAATTCGTATTTACACACTTTACTTACTCAGGTTGATTATTATAGATAAAGAGGTAATAAATCTAAAGTAAAAGAGCTCCGCTTAAACGAAAAAACTATTTATTAAAATAAAACTAAAAGTTGAAAAAAGTGGTTCAGTGCGAGTCGGACTCGCAGACCCATGAAGAGTTCTGTAGTAACAAGCATATATTTTAAATCGAGTCAAAATACCACTATCATTATCGCCAGCAACAAATTATTTTTGTTTTTCATAGTGTTTGTATTAATAACAAAGTTGTTTTGCGGTTCTTTAAAATGTGCTACTTGTATCTAAAAAAAGGACTATTATACATTATACGGGTTTCTGTGGTTTATTCATTACCAAAGAGAAAAAACTTATTGCACAAAATGGGTTTTTATCCATTTCAAGTCATCAAAAGCGGTAGTCCACCGTTAAAAACAAAAACAACCGTTGTTATAGGCTCGGTTGAAATCATTGACAACCTTCACATTTATAGTTATGATAATTAAACAAACGAATTACTAGCTGGTTTACCAAGAATTCTTTAGAGTATAACAAAACGCTACTGCACAATTTAACTGTTATTCTTATCTGGTCTTAACATAACATTTAAAATGGAGTCGTGTTATGATAATTCAAGAAGTTAATTTCTAACTGATTTACCATGAATTCTCTAAAGAATTTCAATAAATAAAGGAAATTATATTTTAAAAAAGCGTGCAGAACTTAAAACGCGACAATGTTTATTCTTTTAAATATTATTAATCGAATAAAAATCGATATCGTTTCATAGATTTTATGACAGTTAAGTGGCAACATCGAATCTGACAGGTAGGCCCCTGTCACTGTTATGTCACAGGAATTCAATTGCGTGTTATCGTGTTATTTTGTTTTGTTGGAAAATACAATTGTTGATCTCTCAACAATTGGTTCGAACACAGCAGGTACATAGGGTAATATCACGATGTGGCATGTCTTCCTCTAAGAAATGCTTTATAACTGAGTTTACTTGAATAATATCAATATAATAATTGTAGCTTCTTTATTATAGGTACAAGTTTCGAGTACAGTGAACGTGTAGTGTGCCACTCGCAAAATGCACCAATAGTTCGTCTTGAACATGTATACATCAGCTGTGGCATTGACAAGTCACTTATGAGAATAAGATCACACATATTGTTTGGGTTCGATTCTCCACGTGAGGAATAATTTGCGCCACGTGAGGTAAGTGTTTAACATTTTCAATTTATTAAGTGTGATGCTCATATCTGATAATTATACATGTTTTTACACTGATTGTATATCAACTCAAGAACTTGTTTTATTTTTTCACATCTGCACAAGCTATATCTGACAAACATACTAGCTTATTTATGAGATTGACCATTTTTATCAACTACCAAGAATGGAAACCGTTGATTTTTCATTGTTTTTGGACTGCTGGTAGTCTGTCAGGCCTTAATTATTAAATAATATAGGTCATTAAGTCCATCCTTGTGCAGTAACATTTAACTTGATAAATATTTTA